AAGGCATTCCCAATACAAAAGATAAAACCGACACATTAATTACAATATATTTATCTAATATCTTTAGAGTAAATAACAACAACGAAATAAAAATTTAAAAGATCCTCTCTACAGCTAATGATTCATGAATTGGATAATCATATTTCAACAAACGATAATTTAATTGATATAAACCAAGGCACAGATAACCAACTACTGTCCGCTAATTGTACAAAATGTTGCAATATTGAAATTCAAGACAAGTTCCATGACTGAATCGAATACCCTTAAAAGCGGGCCTGTCAATCGCGAAAAAAAGATCTTGCTAAAAGTTACATCAATCGATTCAGCATAAAAAAGTCGGCTGACGAAACTTTTTAGGCCTTATAAGTCATTTTGCTGTCGAGAAAATCAAGTTTTCCCCGGGACCTAAGTTCAAAAAACCGCCCGAAAAATTGATTGATTTCAGCTTTTTATCTATAAAATCATCAGTTTTCGCTTCATCTTTTCGAACAACATTTCATTCGAAAGAGCGCATAAAACCCAACAAACTTTGGTATTTAAAATTCTATGTTTCTCCACAACAAATTCAGTCTTTTTTCGTGACGAAATCGCGGTTTCTCCACAAGAGCGTCATGTTTTCCCTGAAGAAATCGATGCTTTCCCGCAAGCACTTCATTTTTCTCCCTGAAGAAATCGATGTTTCTTCACAAGAACTTCTTTTTTGCTGAAGAAAGCGGTGTGTCTGTACAAGAACTTCATGTTTTTCCCCGAAGAAATCCGTGTTTCTCCACCAGAACTGCAATCTATTTTCGCGACGAAATCGATGTTTTTCCACGAAAACTTCATGTTTTTTCCTGAAGAAACCGATGTTTCTCCAAAAATACTTGATGTTTTTTTCTGTACAAACTAATCCTTCTCCACAGGTTTTTTCGCCACCACAACTTCTTGTTTTTCGCTGAAGAAACCGATGTTTTTCCACAGCAGCCATATTTTTTCTCCTGAAGAAACCGGAGTTTCTCCAGATGAACTTCGTGTTTTCTCCTGAAGGACCCGAGGTCTCTCCACAAATAGTGCATGTTTTTTCCTGAAGAAATCGGAGTTTCTTCACAAGAACTTTGTGTTTCCTCCTGAAACCAATGTTTCGTATTAAGAACTTCACGTCCTTTACTACAGAAAACGATGTTTTTCCACAGCAACCTCATGTTTTTTCCCGAAGAAACCGTTGTTTTCCAAAAGGACTTCGTGTTTTCTGCTGAAGAACACCATGTTTCTCTGAAAAAACTTCGGAAAGAATGAAAACGGAGTTTCTCCAGAAGAAGTTCATGTTTTTTCCTGAAGGAACCGATCTCTCTCCACAAATAGTGCATATTTTTTTCTGAAGAAATCGGAGTTTCTCTACAAATACTACATAGTTTTTGCTGAAAAAAGGAATGTTTCTTTACAAATACTACATGATTTTTCTGAAGAAACCGATATTTCTCCAGAAACACTACGTGTTTTTTACTGAAGAAAGCGATGTTTTGCCACAAGAACTTCATGTTCTTCCCTGAAGAACATGATGTTTCTCCACAATCACCAGACGTTTTTTCCTGAAGAACCCAACCGATGTTACTATATACCAAATACTCCAAGTTTTTTATTGACGATACCAACTTTTCTCCACAAGAACTTCTAGTTTTCTATGGACAAAGTCCAGTGTTTTCCCACACGAGCTTCGCGTTTTTCACTGATGTCTCTCCACAAATACTCCATGTTTTTTGCTGAAGAAACCAATGTTTTTTATCAGGAACCTCATGTTTTTTCCTAAAGAAAACGATGCTTTTCAGCAGGAACTTCATATTTTTTCCCGAAGAAACCAATGTTTTTCCACAAGGACTTCCCGTTTTCCGCCGCAGAACGCCATGTTTCTCTGCAGGGCTAGTACAACTTGGGCTCCTGATGACGAATATCACGTTTAAAAGATTCTAAAACAACGGCACGGTGATCTCCTAGACCTGTGAAGATCCCATTTTCCAGCAGAATAGACCTTTTCTGAGCATTTTCACCATTTTTTAGTGAAACACTTTCATGAGCTGAGTTTGAGTACATATTGCACCTTCCCACGGGGTTACAGGACGTGGGATGACATATATCTCGCATATACCCGACGTGGGCTATTAGAAAAACAAGCTTTCATCTTTAGCCAAACACTGTCAGAAAAGCGTGTTTTTCAGGAGAAACGTGATATTCGTCATCAGGAGCCCAAGTTGTACTAGTCCTGTTACTCTCGAACAATCCGGATAAAGTCGATGTAAAGTCTGGTACGCTCTCGAAAGAATCACCCTACTACTTCCACAGAAAGATTGACACATGTACATGGTTCAAGAAAAATTAAATATATAAAGGGTCAAATATATGTTTGCCGTATCAAAGTGTGGTTATGAAATTTTATTTTCCACACTATCTCTTACCGTTCCGGAGTTTTTCAGAATCAAGGTCTAAGACCCACTCTTCACTGTGGGACATCGCATTAAATATACTTCAAGCTAGAGATTTCGGATTGGTTTTATTTTAAACTAGACACCTAACTGCGTGGACTGATGGGACTAGATTTCTGATTTAGGTCTTTGTTCATTTTCTAGAGATCCTAATTTTCTAGAAAACTAAGACTTAATTCAAGAATCGGCAATCCACGCAGTTAGGTGTGCAGTTTAAAATAAAACCAACCCGAAATCTCTAGCTTGAAGTATATTTAAAAGAAGTATTCCACACTGGACATGTTCGAACAAAAAACATGTTTTGAGAGAAAACGATGTGCATTGGTTGGGCTGTTTTAGGACATGTAGGAAAATGCTTGTAAGGTGAATGTGAGTCTTTCACGCGATTCTTTTCTGTTAAAATTTCTTCTAACGCTTAGAATTATGTAGTACGAATCTCTCTTTAAAATGATGCATTTCTAAGTCTCTACCACTTATCGACCAAGAAATACATTCAAATCACCTCGGAACGTATTCTCGTTAGTACCGCCTGGGTCTTCACAGACATATTCAATAGGTGAAAGAATGTTTCCTCCTAAGATGTGAATATTACTTTTCATGATGCCATCTTTCTTCTCTCAGGTAACTAGTTGTGTGTGTTTGTTTTTTGTAGGTGATACTCGAAAAATATTTTCAAAAGTGGCAATTGGACCCAAAACACTGGATTGTGTCGTGCATGAGCAATTTCAGTGCATTGTACACATCAAACAGAGTGAAATGAAAGATATTCCGGCTCCATTTTTAAGTCGTTTTCAAAAATACTCATTAAGCATTAATGATTTTTATCGTATTCAGTTAGAAAAATTATCAATAAAAGAGCAAAATATCATGGATAATGTGGAAGCAAAACCAAAAACATTCGTTCAACGTTATGGTCAACAGTATGTTTATGGTTTTACAGATAATACACTTTATTCTTGTATGTTGTCACTTATAAAAACTCAACAAAAACAGCCAACTTCGCTCGTTACTCAACTGGTACAAAATGAAGAAAGTGAACAAAAGAAAACAGAAAATAATGAAGTAGAAGAGACAGCAGTCAACGAACAAGAACAAAACATAGGAAGAATGGATACAATGGTTTATCTCGGTGCTCACCAGTATTCACAATTGACAATAAAATCAAAGTCCTTGATTGAACAAAATACCACAGATATTCAACAGTATTTATTACGTTCTGTGATATCACGCTTAATTCAACTTGTAACAGCTGAAAGTTTAGCATTGAAACTAACTTCATTTGAAGATAGTGTATCACGATGGATATGTACCGATTATTTTAATAAACAAGAACATTTTAATATTGAAAATTTTATTCATCAATTATTATCAGTATTCAATGATGACTATGAAGAATTGCTTGATGATCAAAATAACAATAATGAGATAGACAAAAATAATTCAATAACAACTAAAGTAACTATCTTTACACGTACATCATCCTACATATTAGGATTGAATAAACAATCAAGTAGTCAACTCTTCAGTGAAGATAATATGCAAAATAACAATGAAAAAGTCAATATATTAAATCTGGCTACCGTTGAAAATTCGTAAGTAAACGTTTAGATACATACATTCCTAGATGAATGCACTGCGAGAAAGATTTTGTCTTTTTCGGAAAATATTCATATAGATAGATAAACTGAGATATCTCCCTTCAAAATCGGTATCTCTAAATATCTTTTGATTAGTTTACTGGAATAGAGATGTGCAGCCTTATCCGTGCCGGACTCAACCAGAAGGTTGGGCACGAACACGAAGTTGTTGGGTACGAATACGATTTTTCTAAAGTTTATCCGACTGACAACTGAAAGATTTAAGTGAAACAACAACAGCATTTTAGTGAAAAAAAAAGCTAAAATATATGAGATTTTAAAGAGTTACTTGAGAACATAACGATACCGTGACGCCCTCAGTCAGAAATCAAATCAAGGTTTTAGCTGGAAACCAAAAAGGAGATAATTTTTAGGCATAAATCGGGGGCGGACGAAAGTGAGCGGTATCCGTGCACATCTCTGTTCCCTTACCCCAAAACGCGTTAAAATATATTATTATTCTCGTTCTAAGTCCTGTTGATACGTTTTTGAATACGCCGATTTATAGGACAAAGTTTTTTTGTTGAAAAATGAGACCTGATGCGGCTCTATTCGACCTCGCTTTGGAAAGTGATTAGTCTTTTTTCACTACTATCGGCTTCAAAAAGAAGTGAACTCAGATGTTTTTTGAATAACCTTTTAACGGTAAACGA